ATCACGATGTGTCTATGAATTTATATTAAACGCTGCAACGTAAGTACCTCTAGTAGAGCATTTGTTTCGTTTTTTAGAGTGTCCGAACTTGGCGAGTGTGTGTATAAGAAATGTATGTGTTTATGCTAAATTGCATGTATCTAGTTCTTGTGTTGGCAGCTCTAGTAAATTTGTACATATTATGTTTTCTTTAAATCATGATTGGGACGATCAAGTCAGTTATAAAGTTGTTGTTAGCATGACACCATGTCGCTTAAAATAAAGTTAAATATACAAAATTTTTTTTTTGGTTTTGCTTACAAATTACAATAAGCAATATCCAGTGGCGCAACTAAAGCTAAAATGTTGGGAAGGGGCTGTAGCCCCTACCTGATATTACATAAAAAGTAAAATGTGGGGGCGATTCCCCCACACCCCTATATATATTTACATAACAATATTATAAAAATCATACAAAAAAAAAACAATAATAGTAAACTATATCTGTGGTAATCAGAATAAAAATCCCCCTACTACAATATTAGTTTATATTACTCACAAACACGTCATGAAAATGATGGAGCAAATATTTTTTAATCGCTATAATTAGTGTAAATATCACATTAATAATATTTAATTACAAATATATACTTATAGCATAGGTATATTGTATATATAATATTGTATAAAATATACATAATGAATATAATTGAAAAAATTAAAAATTAAGTAGAGATTAAGAAAAAATTAAATTAAAAAACAAATCTATGTTCAAAGTTTAAATAGATGGGTAGGTAGATAGGTAATATAGGTACCTAACCTATATTAAATACAATTTAACTTAGGTATTTCTTAATTCTTAATATTTATATTATAATTTTCAGGTATTAACAATAATAATTTTTTTAATATTATATATTTTTTAATATATCCCCAAAATGAAATATTACATTTCCTAATTATATTTTGATGATAAGCAAAATGTCAATATTAATAATATTTGTTAATATTAGAAGTCGATAAATGATGTCATTAGATGTCAAATAATCCAAATAAATAATCGCTGAATGTAAGGAGTAGTTTTAAAAAGACTATTAACATAATATGTTGTTTAAAATCGTGATATAAAACAAAATAATATTATTGTAAATTTTTGAAAATTATTTATTATATTTTAATTTTTTTAATGAAAATGAAAATATAAATTATTACACTAATTGTATTTTGAAAAATAATTGATCAATCAATTTGAAGTACCTAGTTATCAGTAACATTATAGTCTGGGGGTTAGTTTTCCTAGAGTCGGGGAATTTTTTTCCGGGATTGTTCGTCGGGAGTTTTTTCTGGGGATTTTTATTTCTCAATTCACTGTCTCTATAGCCTTTATTAAAATTATTTATAATAATCTTACCAATATACCGACATAAATCGTTTCTTTCAAACAAATACAGGCATACAGCTAATGATATTTACCATATTTATCATAGGCAATATAAAATAATTGTAAAGCTTAAATAAAAATTAGATAATTTGTTACGTTTTTTCCCCCCAAAAAAGTAAGAAATACAGTTTAATTTTTATAGATTTATTAATATTTTAGGAAACAAATGATTAATGAATAATTTATTTTTCGGGGGCTATTACAAGTTTTTTTGGGGGGACACATCAGCCCCCCTCCCCTATTTGCGATTATGGCAATATCAAAATGGGTTTAAGTGCATAAAAAAAAAAAACCATATGCAAGAAAAGAAAAATGCAGATCAATGCTTTAGAACGCGTATACACATATGTAGTGTCGTTCGATAGCAATGCGTATGATATCAGCGAGTTGGAAGCTTGACTTGAAAAGTTATCAAGCATCGGAGAAGCATTTGAGAAACTTCAAATACAATTGGAAGAAGAAGCAGAGAACAAAAAAGAAAAAGAAATACGTGCAGCATTTGAGGAGTCAATGTTTACTATTCTAGCAAAAATCAAAATGTTCATACGCAAAGCAAATACATCAACAACCACTGCTACTGAGACACATGTTAGACTTCACAAGATAGATTTAGGTACCTAAGTATGATTGTGATATTAATGAGTGACAAATTTCAAGGATGTATTTCTACACTAGTCCATAATAATGATAAAATCGGGGCTTGTAACCGAAAAAATAAATTTCGATTTCGATTTCGACATTGGTTACTAGTTTTTTATTTTTTCGATTATGATTTCGATATTGGTTACTGGTTTTAATTTTTTTCCATTTTAATTTCAATTTTGAATACCGGTTTTCAATTTAAATTTTTACAGATTTTTCTTTATTTTTCTTTTTGATTTTGAATATTGGTTTTTAATTTGTAAGTGACTTCCCCTCCCGTCATTCAAACCACATCAAATTTTATATCCAATATTGATAGTAATTTCAATTTTTTATGGTTTTCAAAATCGGTTTCAAACTTTTTATTATTGTTGAATAAAATTGGGTAAACGATAAAGGTTAATAATCTACCTTGACTAAATATTAGTCATTACTAATAACTAATAAGTAACGACTACAAGCTAGTAGTAATGAGAAATCAGTAAATCGATGAAAATCAATTCTCAAATAACTATGGAAGAATAAAGATAACTACTTCTTAGGACTTAGGTATCAAACTATCAAATCTCTTGACTTTTTATCTTACTTAATTTTATGAAAATAATGTATACACTGCATAAAGCACAAATTCACAATATTATTATAATATGAATATGGCATTACGACATCACTGCATACCTAATAGAAATTAATAATTATTATTCGTCGAATTTATTCTGGATTTATTTTTGGATTTTAGATTAGGAAATACTTGCTTATAGTGTTAGAATAACGTGTTAACACGTCCATTATATTATTTCTAGTAATTTGACAGGGAGTTTTCGAGAATGTTCTATAATGTCCTATAATTTTACGTGGGTACCTACATAACCTATGTAACTATGTAAGATATTATTATTTGATTTAGCTTTGAGTTAACATTAACAAATAATAGTATAACCAGTGTCTAATAGGCAATAACTATTTATTTATGTCATACCTTATATGAAAATAATTATTTCTAAACAAATTAATACAACTTCACGATAAAAAAAAATATTGTTTTTGGTGTTTGAAACTAGTTTATATATTTTTGGAATTGGTCTTCTTATTTGTTCTGTCACAAAGTGTAAAATGAAATGCATAAATTATTGACTAGTGGTTATCAGCTCACCTGTTCATATTTAATATAAACCTTAGACAATTATTTTGTAATAAAAACAGCACCTTCCTAAGTTCTACATTTCTATTAACCTAACCTAGGTCTTAGGTACTAGTGTACTACTGTACTACTACTACTATAAGTTAAAGTAGAACGCCTCTTCAACGACGAAAGCAGGAACTATACAAATAGCAGGGCTTAAAAACGAAAAAAATTTTTATTCCGATATTGGTTATCGTTTTCTTATTTTTCGATTTTGGTTTTCGATATGTCTACCGGTTTAATATTTTTCGATTTTGGTTTCTGATATGATACCGATTTTGTACTTTTGAGGTTTCGGTTTTGATTTTGATTTTGATTTCGGGTTTTTAACGGTTTTAACCGGTATTTAAAATCGATATCAAAATGGTTTCAAGCCCTTTATAAAATATTCAACAATTCAAAGTTCATGTTAGATGTTTCTAAAGATTTCATTGAATGGTCATGTACTTCTCTCATAACCGAAAACTATTCAAATATACTATCGTCCAACGGTTTTTCTTCTCAAAACATTACCCATACTAGAGTGTGTTATGACACTGGTTCTTGTATTGACCACATATTTAGTAGAAATGTTAATCTCATTTCTGCAGTAATTAAGACTAGTATAACAGATCATTATACAATTATTGGTAGTTTACTTAAACTCACAAAGCAAATAACCAACACATGATGATTATTTAAATTTAATATCATATATCGATTACAACAAGGCAGTTAGATTATTATCCTGTATTCAATGGACTGGATTATTCGAAACCAATAATACTAATACAGACAAAAGCTTAGCCCTAGCCCCCCCCCCCAAAACCTAGGACATATAATTTTAAAATGCTTTATTGCAATGATCTACTTGCCTTTAATATATTCAGCCCCCCTCCAAGTCAAAAGTTGAAATTGCGCCTAAGGGTATACCTATATCTATGACTGAATGGAAATAAATCTGTTATCACTTAACATAAACAAATCGGTTTGCATGCCAATAGTTACTATACGTTCACAGTTACCTGTTGGATATAAATTTACAATACATAAATGTGGAACTGGTATGACAAATTGTAGTTGCAAACCATTTTAATTGGTATTATCATTAAAATATTTAGGAGTGACAATGGATTTTAATTTAAAATGGTCAGAACACCTACATAATATCAAAAATAAAATGATTAGCTTAACTGTATTATTTTACAAAATACGATTCCTTGATAAATCAATTATAAGACAAATTTACATGGCACTGTGTAATTCCATACTATTTTACGGAATAACATGTTGGGGAGGCATCAACAGAACAAATATCAATACATTGCATACTACACAAAAAATGATTGTAAAAGTAGCATACTCTCTACCATTAAAATATCCATCAGAGGAATTATTCAACCATACTAATATATTATCTGTTTATAAATTATACATAAGACAAATTTTAGTTAAATTCATACAGTACCATACACTCAATGCTACAGAAATAATAGACAGAAGAACATGAAAATACATTAAACCGTCGTATACTTTATTAACTAGTTCCAGAAATTCTCCTAATTACATGGGGAAAACTATTTTCAACAATTTAAATAACAAAGTGAAGAGTCTAATAAAAAGTTTATGTGAAAATCAATCGAATAATACCAATGATATAATTAATATAATGAATAAAAATCAAATAAAAAAGGCAATTATGAATAAATAAAATAGTGATGTTGATGATAATGTGTGCCTATGGAGAGGTGGTATACATTAGGTGTAGAGATCACAATGCACAATGGCTACAACCAAACAAGAATATTAGCAGCCAAATCAAGAGTAGCACAGGTGCGCACACTAAGTATACCTAGTCTAGCTCTACTGCTATCGCAGTTAGTAAATCCAATAGTTTCAGCATTAAAGGTAAAACCAAGAAACATTTTTTTATTATCTAATTCGACCGTAACGTTAGCTTGGATTTCAGCCTGTCCGTCAAAATGGAAGCAGTTTGTTGCTAATAGGGTTAGTGAAATGCAGAAATTAACACCAGATGCTGAATGGAACCACATAAAATCAGAAGACAATCCAGCAGATCTAATTTCGAGAGGGGTTTAACCTTCAAGGTTAATTGAAGCAGCTCTATGGTGGTCAGGTCCAACATGGTTGAGTCACTCAAGTGAGAACTGGCCAGTATCACCTACACCTATATCAGAAACAGTATTTGAAGAACGAGTTGCAATAACACAAGCACTTGTAACGTCAAGCATTCAATTTCAAAATCATTTGGCATGGACCAAATTAATTCGAACAACTGCATATTTATTTCGATTCATACATAACAATCAAGCTCAATCTCAAGGCAGGGAAAAATTAGTTGGTCATCTCACTAATGAAGAGTTTCGACAAGCAACTTTGCATTATTGCAAATCAGTTTAAAAAGAAGAGTTTTTGTCAGTTATAACCAAACTATTAAATAGTTGTTATGTCTAGCTCCATTTTTTGATCAAGAAGGAGTGGGCAACTTAGACATTCATCCTTTACAAATGATAAGGAACATCCCATTTTATTGCCAAAACAACATCACATCACCAAATTGATTGTTAAGTATTTGCACTTTACCAACCTGCATGTAGGCACCCAGATGTTACCATCCATCATGCATCAGAAGTAATGGCCACTGAGTGGAAAAAACGGATGCAAACAAATTGTCCATTCATGCATTGTGTGTTTCAAGGCAAAACCCAAATTTCATTCTCCACTTATGGGCCAACTACCAAAAGCAAGAGTAACACCATCAAGATCATTCACCAATATTGGCATTGACTTCTGTGGACCTGTATACATTCGACAATCAACAAACAAACGAACATGAAGGCATTGAAAGGTAAAAACATACATAGTGGTATTTGTCTTCATGGCTATTAAAGCAGTGCATCTGGAACTTGTGAGTGACCTTAGTTCCAACGCATTCACTGCAGCACTTAAACTGCTCATATCTAGAAGAGGAATGCGCAAACAAATTTATTGTGATAATGGAAAACCCTTTGTCGGAGCAGCCAGAAGCCTAACAAAACTTCATGAATGGGTTATCAAAAATAAGGACAAAATTGTTCAAGTATATCTACTAGATTGTATCGAGTGACATTTCATACCACCAAATTCTCCACACATGGGTGGACTGTGGGAAGCTTGTGTGAAGTCAGTAAAATACCACTTACATAGAATTATGGGAACTGAATGTTAACATTTGAAGAAGTTGCTACTCTTGTTTCTCAGATTGAAGCTTGTCTCAACTTAAGACCCATTACTTCACAGTCAAATGATAAAAATGATGAGAGACCACTGACTCCAGAGCATTTTTTGGTCGGTGATTCCATTCTCTTACCCATTGAGCAGGACAACAGTGATACGCAGATGAAAAAATTGCAAAGATGGAACAGAGTGCAATCAATGGTTCAGTAATTTTGGAAACATTGGTGAAACAACTACATCACATCACTTCAACAACGGGGGAAATGGCACAGACAATGTCCTAATATAAATATCGGTGACTTAGTCATAACTAAAAAAAAAAACATTCCAATGTCTCACTTTATGGTCGGCCGAGTCAGTATCCTCCACCCAGGGACTGATGGAGTAGTGCGTGTAGCCACGGTCAAGCGACTGCGCGCACAACACTAAAACGTCCCGTTGTTAAACTCAGTACAGTTCCTATCAGTTAAAATGTTATATTGTCCTATTTATAAAATGTTTTTAAACCGGAATTAGATATCCAGTGTTCATATTTAAGTATACTATTGAAATATTTTATATTAAAATGTTATAGACAAGTGTATCTGTAATGCGAATAAATAAGTTTATGAACGCTGAAGAGTTAGATCCAGATTCCGTCACCCATGATTTTGATGAAAGTATGTAACCATTTTTTTAAATTTAATATTAATGATTTTATGTTTTGTTATAAATGTAATATTGATTTTTAGAAGATCCTCTTGTAATTGAAAACGGAGTATTCACTTGGATTGACCCAACTGATGCACCAACATTATCAAACATAAATTTACGAGTTTCATCTGGACAACTGGTTGCTGTAGTGGGTACTGTTGGTTCTGGAAAGAGTTCTTTGATATCAGCCTTCCTTGGTGAAATGGAAAAGGTTTCTGGTAGAGTTAACACTAAGGTTAGTGTACCTACAGTTGTTAATAAATATAAATTTTTTAACATGAATAATAATAATGAATAATTTTTTAGGGAACTATAGCATATGTACCACAGCAAGCTTGGATACAAAATACATCACTTAAGAATAATATATTGTTTGGCGAAACATTTGATGATAGAGCTTATAAAAATGTCACAGATGCGTGTGGATTAAAATCTGACTTCCAAATGCTTCCAGCAGGTGACGATACAGAAATTGGTGAAAAGGTGCCTACCTAAATACCACATTTAAAAATTATTATATGTTTAAGTACCTATATTAAATAAATAATTGTATAGGGAATCAATTTAAGTGGAGGCCAAAAACAAAGAGTAAGTTTGGCAAGAGCAGTTTATAAAGAGAGTGACATTTATTTTTTGGACGATCCATTAAGTGCTGTCGATTCACATGTCGGAAACCATATTTTTGAACACGTTATTGGACCTACAGGATTGTTGCAAAAAAAAGTAACAATTTATTATGTCCGATGAAAATCTTGATTTTTTTTAACATTTCGAATGATTGTTTTTATATCAAAGACACGAATTTTGGTTACTCATGGTATAACTTATCTCAGAGATGTTGATTTAATTGTGGTCATGAAAGATGGACAAATATCAGAGACTGGAACATATAACGAATTGCTTGATAAAAAAGGAGATTTCGCTGATATCTTATTGTTGCATATGCAAGAACAAAATGAATACGAAGTTGATGAAATAGGTAATACGAATGCAGCTTTGAATTTTGTCAAGCCTTTGCTTAAACGAGTAAAAAAGTTAAAAATAAGTTAAGTTAAACTTTTGAACAAAACTTTTTTAATTTAATTTTCATTAACATATACAATTACAGTACTAATATAAAAAAAATGTTGTAATGGATGTGTTATTTTTGAATACAATGATTAACCATTGTATACGAAAAACGATTCTAAGTGGTTAGCGAGGTCCTTATAATATTATTATTTTTTATTCGTTGCTATGGTGATAATGAAATCGTTAGAAATTAAACTCCTATTTTTAGAGGTTTTTCTCGACGCTTTCTACTTGGAATTTTCAATTTTGACCTCCCAAAAGTACCAACTAGGTTCACTTTTCTACCAGAAAATATGCTAATCTCAAAAATCTAAGTATACTTACTATCCGAAATGTTGCTAACAGACCGAAAAAAAACAAACTAACAAACATCATTGTAAAACCAATACATTCTTTCGCTCCTCTCAGAATCTAAAATAATTTCATCTTAATTGAAATAAAATGACATAAATAAAATATTACATTTTTAAGTTTTCAAATTAAACCCAGCGGGTATAATTTTTAATTTAACTAAGTTGCAAATAAAATTAGGATAACTATTAACTTGAAACTTTTAATTTTTTTTTAGAAATTAATACTTCATTAGAAGATGCACCTGCAGATTTAAAAGAAAAATATATTAACCAGAAAAGTGAAAAGAATTCAAATTCTTCAATGCAAAGGTAATAAAAATAAAATGTATAATAACGAACCTAATAACAAACTCATTTATGGTAATTAATTTAAATATTTAGGCAAATAGCTATTGATTCAAATAAACCAATTCCTCGACCTATACTGGAGCAAAAAGCCCAACTCATTGAAGCAGAGAAAGCAGAAACCGACAATGTATGTTTGGTATTATAAATAAATATATAAATCAAATAAATAATAGTATAATAAGAATACTTTTTTTATTTAATTAAATTTAAGGTTAAATGGGACATTTACATTCAGTATATTGAGTTATCTGGAACTATTTTTTGTATATCTTCAGTTTTATTAACATTTCTTTACCAAGTGTTTTATACACTATCGAGCATCTGGTTGTCAATATGGTCTAATGATGATAGGTCAATTAATCATGAAACTGAAAATGATGACAATAAGTTTATGCACTTAACAGTTTACGGACTACTTGGAATTGGCCAAAGTAAGTTTGAACATTTCAATTTCATAAATATGAAAGTACATAAATAAACTTTGGATTTCATTCTTCTGTACATTGAGTTGTATACGTGTATACAAACGTATAACGTATAACGTTTGTATAACAAACGTGTTAATTTCAGTTTTTTCAATCATTGATGGTTATGAGTTTTTTAATATTTTATATATTTTTGATATTAACCAAGTGTCCAAGTTACATGAATATATTTACTATTTAGTATTTATATTGCTTATTATTGTATGGTATTCATAATATTGCATAAAATACTTGATATTATAAATTATATTACATAGTATACAATTTTCCGGTATTATATAGTACCTACTGGCTACTTATCACTACCTACTAAGTAGGCTACTTATGACTTACGTCTATTTTATGTTTATTTTAAGCATAAGATTATGCTGAAAAGGCGTCTTGCATAAATAATTTAATTTGTGTATTTATAGAAGCTACATTTTTTTTTAGTTTTTTCGTCGATAGCATTATCAATAACTTTTTCGTTGGGCACAATACATGGTGCGGAAAAATTCTACAAATTGATCAACTCACGCTTATTTAAGAATCCACTAAGCCTGTTTGACACAACACCTATTGGACGTATATTGAACAGAGTATCTAAGGATATTGATACCATTGATAATGTCTTGCCATCATTGATACTATCACGTATAAAATATACGGTTTCGGTAAATTTGCATTTACATTTTAATCACTCTATACGAATATGCTTTTTTTTTGTAGCTCGTATAATATCGTTTGAAGTCTAAAATATTTAAAAATACCCTGTTTTATTAAGAACATATTAAAACAAGTTTTATATATTATTATATTATAGCGAACATATTTTATAGGCATTATTATAATAATATTTCATATAAATAAAACCGTGTAATAAATTTAGTCAAATAAAATCGATGAGAATGTTTGTATCAATCGAATTATAAAATGTTTATAAGTCTGTGAAATTATAAATACTAATAATTCTATACAAGATTAAAAAAATGATGACAATTTTAGGTAATATATAATTTATAATTTGAATATATGATAAGCTAGTGTATGCATGTCATATATCTTGGTATAATATACTATGAAAGGCATAAGAGAATACATACATAGAGTGCGTGACACGAGAAAAAAATCTTGGTATACAAAAAAAACAAGCTTATTAATTATTTAATAATTAAAAATTATATATTTATTCTTCGGTTTCAGGTCATTGGCACTTTGATCGTTATCAGTTATAGTACACCTATATTTGCAGTGGTGATTATTCCTATTGCTATAATTTATTACATCATGCAGGTATGTATTTGAACTGATAATAATATTCTTCAAACTCCAGACAATTATTTTAAGCTTTAACCGATATTTTGAATTTTATTTACAGAGATTTTTTGTTGCGACATCGCGTCAACTACAAAGACTCGAGTCTATATCTCGTTCCCCAATTTATTCACATTTTAGCGAAACAATTGAAGGGACTACATCGATTCGTGCTTATGGTGCACAATCCAAATTCATACTTCAATCCGAACAAATAGTGGATTTCAATCAGTCTTGTTTTTATCCAAAAACAGTGGCCGATAGGTATATTATTATTCTCACTGATAATTTATCACATAACCTAATTACTGTTGTGTTGTACAATCAGTGGTTATAGTGGAAATAATTTTAAAAGGGGACTATAGTCACTAAAAATGTTAGGTTCCTGAGTTCTAACCTTAATGTATATCTAACCAAACTGTTTTGAGAAGCCCATTAGTTCCAAAATATTATTTCTTCTTACTAAGAAATGTTATCCTTCCTACACATATGATGGCTCCTCAGTAAAAATAAATTGTAATTCATAGACTGAAATTTTAAAAAAAATTACAATTTTTAAGTAGTTTTACTTTTATATATTTCATTAAAAAGACAAATAACAACTAATTTATATTGAATATCACGTTAGTAAATTTATTGTTAATCGTTCTCCCCTCCTCCCTGGACTTTTGAGACTTAAATAAAAGAAGATGCATAATATTGCCTTAAGTAAGAAGGGGACTCTATTCCTCTCCGTCTCACCATTTTAACCATCGAATATAATAGTGTATTATAATATATTGATTTAATTTTATCTTAGATGGATGATTTTAAGGGTAGAAACAATTGGTAATTTTATTATTTTCTTCACGTCAGTGTTCTCAGTATTGAGAAGAGATACATTGAGTCCAGGTATTGTTGGTTTGTCCGTCAGTTATGCTCTACAGGTATGAATATATTTTATTTAAATTAAAATATTTCACTTTTCTTAAATTAAATTTTGTCCTATTAAGATCACAAGATTCCTAAATCTGTTAATAAGAGCGACTTCTGATGTCGAAACTAATATTGTGGCCGTTGAACGTGTTAAAGAATATGCAGAAACACCTCAAGTAATATTTGAAAAAATATTATTTATTTATTTGATCATATACAAATATTTCTTATTATTTTTAGGAAGCTCCTTGGGAAGTACCATCAACTCAACCACCCAGAGAATGGCCAACTAGTGGAGAAATTCAATTTAAGAATCTTAAAGTTCGTTACCGTGAAAGTTTAGATTTAGTATTGAAAGGGTTAAATTTTTCAGTGAAAGGAGGCAAAAAGGTAATGAGGGGAAATATAAGAAATGTGACTGTAAAATCAAATTACTAAACTAAAATAATTTAGGTGGGAGTAGTTGGGCGTACCGGAGCAGGAAAATCATCTTTGACTCTTAGTTTGTTTCGTATCGTCGAAGCTTCCGAAGGATCAATTCTTATAGATGGCGTTGATATATCTAAAATTGGATTACATACGTTGCGTAACCGTCTCACAATTATTCCACAGGTAATTTTATAATTCAGACATTATCGATAGTGTAATTATTTAAAAATTAGTTTACATGTTCCTGTTTATGAAATCTTAATTTACATTAATATACTACCTAGAGTATTATATTTAAGTACTTTTAATAAAATATAAAAAATTTGACTTGGGTCTTTCTTTACCTAATCATTAAGCCTATATATTATTGTTAATTTTTTTTTTTTTTTTTTTTTTTTTTTTTTTTTTATTGAACAAAAAAATTTTTATTTACAATCTATAATTACATGTATTACAATAAGTAAATGGGATGGGGATGATTAGCGGGAGGGGGAAGTCACCCAGTGGCGGCACCCCGTAAATTATTATTAATACGAATGTATTTATGATTCTGTAAGGGTAGTGAGTACAGATTTAAAAATAGATCATGTTGACAATCTGACCTAAGCTTATATGCCTTTTTATGTTATTGTTATTGTACATATTTTTATGATATTAATTACAAAAAAAATATGTTTATTAATTAATGTTATACACAATTTTGATTATAATAATAGGGTATATGGTACAGTTATTTTATTATTTTTAAGAGTGATATAGTTAATTTTATTAACTAAAATTAGGCTGAACAAAAAAACCTAATAAATTAATTTTTTTGATAGTCATCAGTTATCCAGTATTGTTTTCTGGTACATTGAGAATGAATTTGGATCCAATTAATAGTAATACGGACGCACAGCTGTGGAGTGCCCTAACACTTGTCCATTTAAAATCATATATTGTAGGGCTTGCTAGTGGTTTGGATTATGAAGTGTCTAAAGGAGGAGAAAATCTAAGGTAATAAATTATAAACAATAGTCAATCTTTTATTTTTAATTTAAAAATCTATTGGTGCCCTGAGCTTATTTTCAAATATAAATACATGTTGTTGTGAAGCCTCATCCGATAGTTGAAATCTTCTTCCTTAGATTAACGTAAGTGATATTAAAACTATAATATAAAACTAATACTATTGTATGACATTTTAAAATCTTAGATTTAAAAAGAAAAATTTTTACGAATTCTTAACTCAAAATAATTTGATAATTTTCGTGATTTTTCCATATTTTGTCAATTTTTGGACTTTAAATGCTTATAAAAAAAAAATTTTACCGAGGAGTTTTAATATTTTTCATCTACCTTTGAAACAATATACTAGAAGGCCTCTATTAAATTTTCAAGATTTTTCAACCAACTAATAAATTGTTATTGATATTCATAAAAAAAAACTAATAAAATCTTAGATTTAAAAAGAAAGAGCTCTTACTAGTACCTTAAAAATACTTGGTTTTCCTTATTTTTTTTCTCGTTGCTTTAGAACATAAATAGGAATATAGGACCTCTCCAATGCCCTAACTAGATTCACTTTCCCATCGAACAAGATACTGATGTTGAAAATCAAAAAGTTATTTCAAATAATTATCGTGCACACAGACACAAAAATAAAAAATAAATAAAAAAAGACACATCATCGTAAAATCAATACATCATCGTTAAACTCAGAATCTAAAAAATAAAAATATTGTTAATTATATTCATGTCAATATTAAGAATTAATAATGTATTATTATGTTCTATTTTATCATTAAATATTGTGTTTCAGTGTGGGCCAAAGACAACTGGTGTGTTTGGCGAGAGCATTGTTGAAAAAGACAAAAATATTAGTGTTAGACGAAGCCACGGCGTCCATCGATTTGGAAACAGACAACCTTATACAAACAACCATACGAACGGAATTCAAAGATTGCACAGTGTTGACAATCGCTCATCGTCTGAACACCATTATGGATTCTGACAAGTACTTAACTAAAAAAAATAATGTCGAACAGAGTTTTTGGATACAATTAATTGATTGAACTCTTTGTTTCCGTGTAGGGTAATTGTGTTGGACAATGGTTTCATGATCGAATACGACTCACCGGCCAATTTGCTAAGAGATAAATCGTCGGTTTTCTATTCGATGGCAAAGGACGCAGGTCTAGCTCAATAACGATGTTTGGACAATGGTGCTTACTTAGGCTTTTATTTTCTTAACATGATTTTACAAAAAAATGTCTTAATATCTTGATAGATAATATAATTTTTGTTGAATGATCGTAAATAATAATTATTTCGAAAGCTGTTTCTAAATAACCTGCAGTGCAGGTTAAGGAATGATCCATCGAATTCTGTCTTTTTTATACCAATCGTGTGTGTTATGAAATAAGCATAATATTATGTGCCTATATCATGTATTCATTTGTTATTGATTAGTTCTTGCACTCTTTGCATAAAATAATAACCTATGTTAAATTTTACGAAAGGTTCAACAAAATATTGTGTTTAGTGTGGTACTTTTTATTGATAACCATTGATATTTGTATATCATTAAACAAAATATAAATTATATAAACTATCATATTTTGTGTAAATTAAATAATAATTACATAGATTCGTTTTTATATATTTTTAATTATTATATTATTGTGTGCTCGCCGTTGGTTCGTCGCATACAGTTACGCTTGTTCACCGCATACAGTTATTGATCAGACCTCTAATTTACCCTTTTTAAGTTAGATTATCTTGTTCCCAGAGAACTAACATATCTCTGTACCAATGGTTATCGCAATTGGATGAACGGTTTAGAAATGCATAAAGGACACACACACAGACAAACATTCATTTTAATACCTATATAACTAAGTGCACTTAGTTGCCCGTAAAAAATGACAACTCTTAAAGAAATTGGGATTGCTCAACTCCTTATATGGATATAACTCGTTGCAGTAAGTGCAACTCAGCAACCTTAGTATGCAATGTGAGAAAATTCGATTTGAGGCATATGCTCAAACCTAACCTAACCTAACCTAATCTGACCGATAACCAATGGCAACCAATAAAATAATAAATACTAATTTTTACTAATTATTTCTCCTATAACCAATAGCAACCATTTCTAAACAAAAATGTCCAAAATTCCTGTTTGAGCACCACCACGGGTTGGACCTACCAGTTCCAATCGTGAATCCAAACCATCCACTGGATAAACTCAAACACTCACCTAAAAATATCATCAAAATTGGCCCATCCGTTCTCAATTTATTTAATTAGGTACTATACATTTTTCACATCATTTATATATGTATATATAGATAATTCTCGAGTTTTCGAGTAATAATATATAATTTAAATAAATAAAATCTAAATAGTGAAAAGGTTGCTGCACGAGAGTTTACATTTTTTTTTTTATTTGTTCATTGAAACGACCTCTAGGTCTTTGTTAATGCTTATCAAAGTGGGTAGAAGGGAGATCATGTGATCTATTTATCTATGTAAATATCACTATATGCATGTTACTACCCCCCTTCTCCTGCAAGAGGAGGCATGTGCGGTCTTCACTCCCAGTGGAGTGGGGCCTAGTTGGAAACCGGACTACAGAAGGGGGAAATGGTGATCCCGTAGAACCACACAAATTTATTTTGCTCTGTGCTATGAATCAAACCGATGACTGTGTGAGTCGTAGTCAACTGCTTGATCACTTCGACACTCCGGCCCCTGAGCGTATAAATAGTCAAAATCAGTAATGTTATTAATTTGTTTACTCTCTTCTCGTCGCTTAAACCGGTTTCATCGCAAATGAATTTTTATGGTTTACGTCATATTATTTAATCTTTATTGCAATTTGCGTAATTATATAAAAAAACATTCTTTAAAATCCTAACATTTTAATTTTTTTTTTTTGTATCTGTCATCACCTTTTTGGACATTAAAAATTCTTCGACTTTCTTCAACAACATATTTTCTGTTATGCAAGTGAATCTAATTGGTACTTTGGTGGGTCAAAAGTAAAATTTTTTTCTAGTTTTCGAAAGCGTCAAAAAATTAATGAAAACTGAGATTTTTACTCAAAACCAGTATTCGAAAGAATCAATTGGTAGGTCAAATAGATGAAAATGTAATACAACGTTTCTCATAAGTTAATGTTAGTGGAAATTAAAAAAAAAAGTTGAGCGTAAAAGCACAATAATTTTTTATGAGCGTCTGAAGTCAAAATTTTGAAAAAAATTCATCAAAAACACGAAAATCGGCATGTTATTTGGCATTATTTTTTATTTTAAATTTTCATACAAGATTCCCCTTAAGGCTTTCTATATTAACTAAAAAAAATTTACGAAATGCGCATTATAATCTGACAACTTTTAAATTATTTTGTATTCAGATATTCATACAAAAATGTCTTTGTATACCTAAAATATGATAATTTAATACAAGGTCCCTCATAAGCAGTTAAAATAGTAAAAATAGTTTTGAAATAAATTAAATACATTGGTACGATTTTTTTATATGAATTTAAAGTTCAAATTTCAAACTCTTTTTCAGTTATTTTCATAGATAACATTGAACATGTTTGTGCTTTTTATTCTATTATAAAATGTACCTACTTATTGTATAAAACATATAATTATTTTGAACGAAGTTTCTGCCTAACCCGCACTGCAGAATTTTATCTTTGTTATACTAACGACCAATCTCTCGTAACGTATTAGCCCGTTGTAACGATTCTGAATGTACGGACCACTCTTTTCTCCGCTAGTCCGCGCCACCAATACCGCGCGCCCGCGTACTGACACGACATTTCTCTCGCGGACTAACGGTAGATAGCGCTCAAGGACCACTCATCATAGATCCGACTGGGGATCGCTGATTAAGGGTACAATTGGTCCCTCCAGGGGGGATTAATGGTGGCAAACTAGTAAGGGCATACATTCTGAACAGATTCCTATGTCCATCCAAACCTCTATCGACCCGGAAAACCCTCAGCGGCATCGAAACGGGTATGTTGTCATTCGCTAGGCTGACAGTCGGGAATGAGCGCAACAGCACATATAGGTAGGCCCGACGGTCGGCTCACAGTTTCCGGATTTCCGACCAAAATACTGGGTCTGGTAGGAATAGACACCACCGTCCAGAGTCGTGGGTAAGGCTGTAAAACCCCTTACTGTCCGACTGCCTGGTACCGTGCCTATTCCCACAAGTAGTCGTAACCTTCTTTTTTCTGCGTCCGTATACGCATATAGACTCTTTGCTTTCCGACCATATCAAACGGCGTAGTGTAACAATCCGGGTACGGCATTAATACCCCGTACTTACGATCGCTATACTACGATACGCGATTTGGTCGATGTGGAAAGAGTCTAGTAATTAACACACTCTTATCGCTCAGAGAAGCACATAGTAAACATAGATAATATAAGAATGGATAGGACATGCCTATACCAGTTCCATATGAGGCCGTGTGCCTTTTTGGGAAAGAGAGAAAGACTATATGAGGCTTTTTAAGGTTATGTGCAAAACTATTTTATTAAATAATAATAATAATAACATGATAGTCAGTTATATTTAGATATTTGTCAGTTTGTATTTTGATTGTTGTGCCACCTGTGCCTGGAAAATGGAAATTGGAAAATAATATTTTAACAAAATGAAATTATATAAATTTTATTTATTATTATTTATCAATTATCATATCAATATTTGCCTTATATAACCTTAAAAATAGTATCACTAAATTTTCATGTGATAAGCTCTTATGCCCTATCCATTCTTATATTATCTATGATAGTAAATTGTTAGGGTGCCGGTGAATGTTAAATCTATTTGCTACTGCTGCGAGAAACCGTAAGTCTAATTTTTATTGTTTGTACGAGATCGTAGTATCTCCTTTCTGTTATTGCCAATTATACTAAAACATACCGAAATTATATTTTGTTTATATAAACTTCTAATTATTACATTTGAATTATATTCCTATCTTGATTTTACCCGTAATCAGACACCCGGGATAATTAAATTCTTATTACTACGTGCATGGTGTATATTATATTTTATGTTTTATATTTTATTGTGTTATATGAATTTGTTTACGTCAATACAATAAATGATATTAACCTTAATGAATATGTGTTCCGTTCATTACACCGTCATTTTTGTTTGTTTTACAATGGTTAATTTTATTATTTCTCGGGCGTTTCGGCCACAGAAAGTATTATGTAGAATAAATATTATTATAATTTATTATAAGGGAAATAGGTAAAGGCAATGTTCAGTCTTTTCGGAACAAATTGTTTCCCTGATTCAATTTTTGCATGTTTTAATCCGTACTAAGCTGTCCACGTCGTGTAAATACTACCGTTGTTCGTGTTATGTTATAAGTGGTACAAAATGGTTGCGTACCTGTATTATATTTTACGAAAGATTCAACATAATATTCTGTTCAGTATGGTACGTTTCAATAACAACAATTGATATTTGCAGATGATCAAATGAAATACAAATTATATATTACTATCATATTTAGTGTAAATAAAAAAATAAACAATTGTGCCAAAACGTTCGTTTTTATAAATATTTTTATTATTATGTTATTGTGCACTCGACTCTTAATTTGTTCACCGCATACAGTTACGCTTGTGGTTGACCAGTTGTTGGCCTCCGCCTCGCAATCCATGAACGGCAACCATCTCAGCCAGTGCAGAGTACGAGCAGTATCCATCAGTGTTCTCACGGATCGTCGGCAGGTCCTTGACCGCGTACTCGACTGCTGCCTTCCTCGAGTCCTGCTGCACCTTCGGCGATTCCAGGGCAGCGCCTTATTGCCCGCCAGCCCAGCCATGCTATACAGCAGGCCTGTCAGAAACCCTTTGGCGTTGGCCTGCATCGGAATTAAGCATTATGTCCCGATGCACTAACAATGTTGTAGTCCATTCAATCATTCTAAATACTACTTTTAAATTTTAAAGTTGTTATTTTTATTACATTTATTTTTATTTTAGGTTCTAATGATTTTGATTTTGAAATTTTATTTTAAGATTTTTACATGCTTTTACATGATTTTTATATAAATTGATCAAATTATAACTAGGTATATAAGGTAAATAAATAAATGAACTAAACCTGAAAAAAAAACATTTACGTACCAAGTCCAAAACGAACAGTCTCGTCAGTAAAACTTATTTGCTATACTTTAAAATTTATATTTTAATTTAGGTATAACAAATTAATATTAGAATTTGTAATAAAATTATTGAAAAAAAAAGTAGTTATTATGTAATTTACAAAAATAATAATTCTTAACAATAATAACTGTTTTAATTTATTCTGTGTTTATACTGTTAGTCTGTTATACTAAGAAGATTAAGACTGCAGTAGGATTTCCCAATAACGTAAATTTATGTAAATATTTAGACTTTTAGGTAGTTAAAAATTATATCAGAAGTAAGTTTGTGTTCTATCAATTACATATTTTAACTGTGATAATAGATAACCAATGTCCAATAATTATTATTTTAAAATCTTAAAATATTTTATACCAAGTTCTCACAAGAATATTATAATATTTATTTAAAAAAAAAAGGCTCTGGGGTGAGGGGCAAACATAATCCTAAACTCAACAGTAACTAAGAGTCAATAGGTACATACAGTATTATGCTAATAGTATGTACTAATTGGCAAGCCTGGGCAAGTTATGATCATTTTTAACTGAGTTAACAGTTAACCTAATTTTATTTAACTCAGTTAAGTTTAAAGTTATATGAACATTTTCAATTAACTTATTAACTTAAGTTAAGTTATTATTATTATTTTTATTTTTTTAATATCTATATAAATACCCAGTAATATGGTTTAAAATAATAAAAATCATAAATATTATCGAACACAGGAAATATTTAATAGCTTTTCTACACATAGAATTAAATTATTAGGTACTGAATTAATAGAGTTATGTAGTAGGTACCAAAGCATACAAAAATTGAAAATACCGAAATAAATACAATATTTTGATTTATATAAATAAATAAATAACTTATTTATGGTGAAAATATTTTATAATATGTTCTTGAGAATTGTACATTAGTGATTTGTATCTAAATTAATAAACGATATTTCTAATTTCCAAATCTAGTGAATGGTTAAGTAATATGCAACATCAATAATAATTAATTAATTATTTATAAATTAACTTAACTTGAATTTGATTAAAAGTAACTCTTTATTTATTAAGCGTATATCAATTAAAATAAGTTTAGTTAAAAAGTTAAAATTAACATAACTTTAACTTTTTAACTCGTTTATGCCCAGGCTTGCTATTTGGATAGTGTTCTGATAGAACAATTATTGTAAAAAGAATTAATATTGTTCATGAAAAATTAATATGATTTGAATGAAATGTATCTTGATGAGTAAATATGTCATCTAAGATAACCAATTAATAAATGTCTCAATAGTTATATAGATAAGATAATAGATGAGTAATAATAATAATAATTTTTCAGATAAGCCTCAAAACTTACTACAACAGGACAGGTACCTACGACGGTATATATTTTTATTGTTATTATTATTATTATAGCAGCCGAAATCAGCTGTAATAACTACTGTTCGGACTCCTTTGGCCCTGATTTAGGTAACCACCAGTGTATTATTATTATTAGCTGTATAATATAATGGTTAAGATAGCCAAAAACACGATTTTTAGATTTTCAGGATTTACTCATTACGCCCCTACGAGCTACGGCACGAGAGTGTAATATAAATTATAATATAGGTACTACCTTGCTTGGGACGGGATGATCGGTATTTTTTCACTCAATGTTTATTTATTTACGTCTTCGAAACTATAATTTCGGCCCGAGATCGCAGGGTCGTATTTATTATCATCATCAGTTGTCTCCTCGGCAAGTATATTATCACACAAGCTTCACTATAAGTATAGGTAACTTAAGAGTTATGAGGAACATTGAATTAAATGTTGAAGCTTTTTGACGCTCAAAACAAATATAATAATTATCATACATAAAACGAAAAAAAGTAATATATTTCAAATTTCTTTAAAATATTTTTTAAATGTTATTTTGTAGAGGAAATCAAAATTAAATGTTCAGTGAAAATGTGAAGGATTTAGCGGTTACGTATTTTTGAACAACAGCAGCATCATTATCGATTTATCGAAAACTATTGTTGAGTTGAGTTTTTTACTGTTTTTAGGTATTTTTTTTTTTTTGTACTCCTCTATTGTTTTATTAAGTAGGTAAGTACTATGGGAAGTACCTATTTACTTTTTACTTCCCACATTTCCAACTAAATCAAATTTTCTACTATAGCTATTACCATCGATAATAAAAACATGGATACAACATAAAGTCTTATCGGTGATTAACAAAATTATACGAATTGAGGCCAAATAAGCATAGTTTACTTGGTTACCGATTATCTAGTATAGAAATATAATCATACCTTACAAAAATTTAAACAAACGGCCTCAATAATTCTTTATCTATGTTGGACCTCAAAACTAACACTTCATAATGAATAAGTTATGTCCTATCCATGTCTTTATTATCGACGGAAGTTTTAATCCACGGCTATTACATTCAATGTTGATAATTGAAGAACTTTTACTGCTCCAAAATGTGGTAACAGACATAAAAATATTCCCACATCGTTTATAAAACAACGAGAGAAGAATACGATGTGGGCACTTCAAGTAGTATTATACACTATAGAGTATAGAGGTTGAAAATTGTTTTTTTTTTAGATTCGATTATGTGTCCGTTAGGTTGGCACTGTATATATATAATTATTATGAATAAAGATAATAATATACATACCAACTCATATTGTCTCTGATAATGAGCGTTATCGCTACCGGTTGCAGTGTTGTGTGGCTGGGTCGGTACCATAGATTAATAATTAATTACAATAATCAAATTACTGTTGATTGTCAGTCCCGTCAAAACGTGTGTGAGACGAGCACGTATTTAGGTTTACGCTCACACGCCGATTTAACCGGCTAAAAATAATAATTTCACCATCATCATTGAACGTCTTCGTGTCTAATAAACAGCTATATATTACAATTATCAGTTCACACGGAGATTCGAATGGAATTATCCGGTATGGACAAATTTTGCGGATCGACTTTTTGGGTAAGTCTCTCCTTTTTGTGCCTATTTTTTGTGGTCGACTTCTGCAACTCGTCCCATTGTTTTTGTTTAAAATACAATATCACAAATATGTAGACGTCGACACCAAATATTATTGAATCTCGTATTTTTAGGACTGGAACTTGTCCTGGAACACCACCGATCCTGATGTCACGCCATGTTTTGAAAAGACCTTACTAGTCTGGGTACCGTGCTTGTTTTTATGGGTATTCTCTCCACTAGAGATCTATTATTTGGTGAATAGTAAATACAAAGACATACCATGGAACCGGCTCAATATGACGAAAGTAGTATGTTTTTTTACTTCGGCTCTTTTAAGTTTTTCTGACATAGCTTGAACTATTAATTTGGACATACTAACAAATATGAATATTATGATTATGCATACTAGAATTACAATTATTAGCTTTGGATAATTTGTACATAATATATCCGCAAAATAGTTTGATAACTCTATTAATTATATCGAATTTTATGTACATAATACATACTTTTTGAGAAATAATTTAAATTGTAAAATTACAATCATTGTAAATTTAAAATTATCCTACTTTAAAAGTTTGTAAATTAAATTTGTTGTACTTATTAAAACATCATGACAAATATTATGCTGATTTCTTACGTGACTGCTAAATTAATATAAAATGTACATGTACTAAGTCTGTATAATATATATCATGTAAGAAAAGTTTCTACTGAAAAAGTAAAAATATAATAATTATATTTTACATTTAGCATACTATAAATTATTTATAGTATGCTAATACCTACCTACGTAGTTGGGCAGATAAACATATTATTATTCTACGTTTTTCACTATAAAATTCGATTATGTTATGGTATAAGCAGGTAATATTTTAAAATCGCACATGTTCGAAATTCTTATTTCTGAAGATAAATGTTATTGATAAATGATAAATTGACTAGTGTAATGAATAATATTTTTATATTTAAACTGAAATTTAAGATTGTCAAAGCGATGATTAAATTTATTTTACAATAATGTATATATATATATATTCAAATGTTTTGTTACAATGTTCACAAAAAGTAGTCGAAAAAATGCTATTTTTCGAATTTAAACTTTACGAATAGTTTCTGGTAGAAAATTGGTTATTGTTGGTCTTAAGAAGTAAAAATATAAATATCCCTGTAATTTTCATAAGCGTTGTTAAAAACAAAATGATATAAGAAAAATAGAAAAATAGAAACTTTTATGTATTTTTTTAAATTTATTTTTGTGTTACTCAAAAATTAATAACTAAATATACTTAAAATGCTTACGAAATGTATGTTTTCTGATTCTTTTACAAGAATAAATGTTCAGAAAATGTTAACTAATTTTGAGCAACTTATAGAAACTTGAAATTTGAATGTTTTCAGTTTTTTTCTATAAATATCGATAAAAATGTTTCACTTGGTCAAAAAGCTTCATACATGCTTCAATATAAGATTCAGCAATAGTTGTTATAATAGTAGTTTAAATTATTAGAGATACAAAAGTACTTTTTTTTTCATATATAAACATTTAAACCATAAAGTTAAAATTTTAACGAAATAACGAAAACTCTTTTGTAGTTAAAAAATTATAAAATATTTATTTGTAATAGCTAAGGATTAAAATTTTAAAACAATATTACTCATAAGTAGTTCATAAAGTAGCCAAAAAATTTATTAAAATAGGATATGTGTAGTTGTAACCGGTCCTCCGAGACATAGATCCGGCACTCCTATAGAGTGTTATA